CCCCGGGTGGGTGCGTGGCTGAGTCCCGCAGCCTCAACCCGTGTGGAGAGCGGAGAAAACCGCAACTAGGCGCGTCCCCGGGTGGCGGATAGGGGAATGGCCTCCTATGGATTGGAGGTTAGCCGTGAATAACCCTCCAAGGGGAATAAACGGCCGCGGACCAAATCCGGGCAGAGCGGGCTCGTGAGCCTTGGGTGGCAACCGGTCTAGGGGATGGCAACCCGAAGATATTGCCCGGAGTCGAGTCTCCGCATAGTTAAACTCAAACAATGGATGGAATTATGCGAAGCACAAAGAAGTCCAACACCCGGAGGAGTTCGGAACCTCTGGGGCGGCCTGGTGGGAGTACCGTCCCTGCTCCCGCCCGGTCGGCATCGAGTCAAGGGCTAGCTGAGGTCAACCCGGCAGGGGCCTCAGTGGAATCAGCTACTGCCGTGAGCCAGCCGAGAGAGGAGGAGGAAGTTCATCCCGCCACCCTCGAATTTAGGCGAAGGATGGACGAACTTGAGAAAAAATGGTTGCTGTTCACCACCGACAGCGATCGGGACACCGTGGACCTCACAACGGATGACGAGGTATGTGTGTGGAGAGAGCAGTGCGCGGGGAAGGAGGATTACATCCTCGAGCACAAGCTCGTGAGCGCTGGCGGGAGGCTGCTCCGTAGAGACGAGCATATTCCCGGTAAACTAGAGGGGTGGGACGAGGCCTCCTTTGACTTTTATGAGGAGGTAGTGGAGCCCGGGACCTACAGAAAGGTCCGTTACAAGGATGAAAGGGATTTAGGGGACGTAGAGCTGGACAATAACGATTGGGTCCTAGCTGTACGAAGGGGCCAGGTGAAGTTCCCTCGTAGCGCGGCCGAGAAGGCTGCTGCAGGCGAGGGTTCCCTGGAGTACCCGTCGCCAGAGAAGGTTATGGGAAGGAGGGATGGCGCCTCTCGCAGCGTTTCGCGCGAGCCTTCGCGCGAGCCGAGCTGCGAGACGGCTGCCCCCCCCTCCCATCCGGTGATAGATCTGTCCCCGGGAGATGAGCCGATCGACGTGCTCACTCTCGATAAGACGGAGGACGAAGAAGGGGGGAAGGGTGGGCCTGGACAGCCCTCTTCCG